AGCCACCCCATAATCATCAGATAAGAGCCTTCCTTTATCATCCCTCGAGGGTCCTACCCCAATCCTAACATTTTGTTTACCCTTAATGTATTTAAAGAAATCCTGTTAATTTTTTAAATTTTCAACCAACTTTTTCTCATACATCCTTTCTGATGTCCTAATTTTCTGTTTCACCTACTTTCTTGGTCTTTTAAATCTCCTGTCATACCAGGATGAGGAATTGTGCTAACAGTGTGAAATGTTATGTTCAAATTACTAAACATGAAGAGTCCATTATTCTATAAAATGAATTTGTCATTGCTGTAATATTTAATAAAATAAAAATCCTTTGAAAACTTGTACTGCTTTCATCTAACAAAAAGAAACAAAACTTCAATCAACAATGAAAGACTGAAGATGTGTGACATTTAAGAGCATATTATTGTACCAATTAAATATGCGAGATTTTGATGATGCCTATGGATATCTTTCACACTCCATGCTACAGAAGTATAAGGAAAAAAATTATTGTTAAATAAAAAGTTATGTAGGGCTGGCTACTGAACTTGAAAAAAGGAACCAAACAAGATAGGGATAGAAGTAGACATGTCACTTGATCAACTAATGAAGACTAAGCTGCCTCAAGTTTACATGATACACAGTATTTAACATAGAAATGGCCCATTTTTAGATTCAAGCAATATCCCTACAAGTCCTTGTTAATCAAGTGTTTACATGATAAAATATGCAATATTTATAGCTTTCTTAAAAATGAAATGTTGAATTTAATGTTCTATTATTTTATGAATTTTGGTTAACACGCTGGTCATTTGTAATAATTATACAGTTAACATTGCCTCATGATAATTATATATATTTTGTTCGAGTCTTGGAGATTGGAACTCTTGAGAATGATGAATAAAAGGCCGAATTGAAGTAACTAACAGCTTGAGACTAACAGTCTATCTGATTAGATTACAGTGCTCAAAACCTTCTTTTAAAAAGTTCCAATGTGAAGAATGAAAGATTTTTCATTAGTATCCAAACGAAAAAGGTGGGTTACTTGGAATAGACAAAATAAAACTATCTGAAAAGTACAAACCGTTTGTTAAAACACTTCAGATCATTATTCTAAATATTACACTTGCAATAACTGTTGCACACATATTTGGAGCAAGAATATTAACAAGAACACAAAGTTTTAACAAAGAAATTAATTTTAATCTATGCTGCATTTGTTTTAGCTTACATTTGACCACTTACCAATCAATAGTGGCAAGACTTTGAAGTTCATACAATATAATTTTGCTTCTTATAAACACCTGAATGTTTCTTGCAGGGCTTTTGCAGTAGGATATTATACTAAAATTACATAAAGGTTTGAAGGAGAATAAAATAATTTCTTTTCTTTTTACTCAATAGAAGATTATCTTTAATTTCCCTTCTTTCTTTCTTTTTTTTTTTTGCACTCTGTAATTACCAGAACTATCTGTGTAAATTGACATAAAATTACATTACCTTAGTTGAAAAAATTATGACTTTGTAAAAACATCAAGATTAATAACCCATATATGAAATATAAAAATAAAATAGGAATCTAAATTACTGACGATGAACATTAAACTAGTGTCCAATGTAATAAACATCTTACTCATTCTTTTAATCTATTTAGAGTGCAATCCTATTAGCACAAACAGAATTCATGTTCATATGTCTGAAACAAAAGTCACAATACTGATGTTTCACTTAAAATGTTTTTCCTCTTGTAGATATTATTATAAAATCATCATTCTTCATCATTTTAAATCAGGTTATGAAAAATAGTGTAATTTCTGCTGAAAAGTTTATGATCAGTTCACAACCAAAGCGAGCCTATGAGAATAATTAGGGAACCAATATGTAGTAAAAATTCGTAAAATTATTAAACAAAATTAAGTTCTTAAAGACTTGGAATTTCAACTACGCATAACATACGAAGGACCACAATTTTTTTTCGAATAACACAAGATTTACCTTTCTATACAGACTTAAAATAGGTATTAACATGAGTCTACAAAATGTTAAACTATACATTACTTTAAATAAAAACAAGGTTAACAAAGTTTAACTGCATACCTATAAGGAACTGTTTGTGTCATCACACCTAATACCAATAAAACATACACCAAAGAAAATAAGCCAAACTGTTTAACATTCTTATCTTGGTGACTAGAGTTAAGTTAGGCTGAAACATACTTTATCTAACATCACTTTCTCAGTCAGCCCTGCAGAGACCATCTTGCTCAGTGTCTTCTCTTTGCTCTGAGCTTGTCTTGCCAGCTTGGCACTGCCATGTCCAAATCTTGCAATGTAGTCCTGGGAAGATAAGCAAAAAAAAAAAAGTCACCAGTTTATACCTGCGTTATCTATTAACACTACCCAGACCAATTTTCTACATAATAAGTAATAAAATACTGATCAAGTTAACAATTTACAATATTGCACAGTAATACCAATAATGTTTTTTTTTGTTGTTGTTGTTTTTATAATGCTCTCAAACTGATTGGTAAATTTAAAAAATAAAAGTCATGATTTTGTTAAATTTAAGTTTTAAATATTCTTGCTACAAGAATCAGTCAACTAAGGTAAGGTTAATGTTTTAAGTCACTATTATATCTGCATTTTGTTTCAGACAAAGTAAAACTGAAAATAAGTACAATACAAACTTGTGATGCTTCTTAAATTCACTTATTTTAATTAAATATATGGTCTTGAAAGCCACAAGACTCAGTTTTAATGTTTTTGTGTTTATAAGAAAGACATTTTGCAGGACTCTTGAGTTATGTCAATCAGCTTTTTAGGTCCAAAATACATTTATCATCATCACAAATGTAGTCTCAGGACATCCCACAAATATCTAAATGGATTATAAACCTTAAAAGCCACTTGGCATGGTTCAAAAGTACTCAAGTCTATCCCATGCTTAGCCAACGAAGTGGAAACTGAGACTTGCAGGTTTTGAAACCTGACAAGTTGCACCCTTCTATTACGTATGGGCAAGAGGGGGTAGCCGCTTAATGTATGTGCACACTGTAGCCTATTGAGAACATTTAGGATTTATCTTATCCATTATAATTTTAAGAAGTTTCTGTTTGTTTGTTGTTATGCACAAAGCTACACAATGGGCTGTCTGTGCTGTGTCTCCCACAGGTTTGGAAGCCCAGTTTTTAGCATTATAAACGTTCATAGTTTACTGGTGAACCAGTGGGGATAATTGTGAGAAGTAACCTAAACTCTTTTTGGTTTAGTTTTTTCTATACATTTTTCCTCCTTAGAATTCTTTTTAGTTGTATTTTCTGTTTTGCAACAATGTTTTACTTGTCAACCTCTAAACACAAAATTTAAAGCTCAAAGCAACTTTTAAATGTGATGAGATTGTACATATGCATAAGTGGGTCATAGTCTGCAAATAAGACAAGGAATAGAGGTACAAGAATTCACAAGTTTCTGCATATGTAATATATGGATAATATCTAACCTGGTTGATTCAAGGGCCTGCCTGGTAGGCAGAATTGCAGGTTCAAATCCTGCTTGATCCATTTTCACTTCTTTGCAAAAATATTTCAGGCAAAACATCTTACAATAAAAGTTTAATTTACAGTTTTTGCTTACTGGCACATCTTCACTTTGCTGGAGTTAATGACTGACACATGGCCATTCAAAGTATGACGTTTTGTAACTTTCTCTAGTATTAACAAACTGGCAAACAAACATGGAATCTAGTTTTCCAATCATAAGACAATTTTCTCTCTGCCCTAAAAAACAACAAGCATAAATCACACTTTAACAACACTCTGGATTATCATAAAACTTGATTTTATTTCCCCCAAAACTATAATAATAATAAAAGGTTGCTATACTAAAAATCTAACGACATTTATCTCATCAATTAAAATGTCCGATGAAAAATCTATATGGAAAACCTTCAAAAGATTTTTCTTATATTCAAGTTTACAAAAACTTTGCTACAATAACATCACTGAAGAAAATTTATTGACCAAAATAATGTACTATCATGGTGTTAGTAACATTTAATACTACATATGAGCCTCTTACACTACAATTGAACTATGTCATCAAATTCTTCCATCATCCTAAAATAGGTAACACTGTATGGTTGAGACCCCTTAACTCTCTCAACAAGGGTGTGGTCAATTTGACCAACCACATGACCTCTTTGTACTCATTTAAAGTCTATAGTTTTGATACTACTAACTTTAAATATAGTGTGTACATCTTAACAAAATTTGGCAGACTTTCAGTAAACATTATAATTCTTTACATACAAAAAAAGTCATTTTTTTAGTGAAGTTTTTTTAATAAACTAAAAATTTTTGTCAGTGAATATAGAGTATTTGTTTTGACTAGTCCATGTGCAACGTGATTTATGTTAAGATTAAAAAACTTTTCTTCATCTCAAAAATCTCAAATTTCATTTGTGTAATCTCTCAAACCTTCTAAATACATTTCAAATATATGTTCCCATGGGAACGAAGCTTGTATTAAAAAGAGAAATTGACAATTCTCTGTTCAGAACACAATGTAATATAATATGTCATTTGAAGATGAAAACCTTGGTTTTCTATTGGTTATACATAATATAGAATTAAATGTAAGAGAGAACTATTAACAAATCCTGAAAGAGAGGGTGCAACAGGCTGGTGTGACAAGAGGAGTCTGATTTTTTATTTGATGGCTCTGTAACCAAACAAAATTGAAGGCTATAAAAATCATGGTTTGTCTGAGCAATGATGCTTTTATAGAGAGTAATTTGTTAAATATAGTACTTATGAGAAGATAGAATGCCTAGAGAAAATATGTCACCTTTCTCACACTAGGAGAATTCAGGATTTTTTAAAATATTTCCTTATAAAATTAAGAACTTAAAACTAGTATACTATTAAAATATGGATTATTAGCCAAGATTTTATACTATACTAATTGGTATAAAAAACAAAAAAGTAGTTTAATAAAAGTTTGAATGTAAGCTGCTAAAACATTGTGATATGTGCAATAAATGATGGCCAGGCAGAGAGGGTTAAAGTTAATTTAGAAAATGCCAAAACTTTCATTTTAACTTACCTTCTGAGAAAATTTAAGACTCAAGAGTCAGAAAGTATCTTCGCTTCACTAGTTTTGAGCATTGTAAACCAAACAGCAAGACTATTGTAGCCTCAAACTGCTGGCTTACTTTAATTCGGCCTTTTTGATCATCATTCTCAGAGTCTCAGAAACATTAAGTAACAGAAGGTACTACTAAAAATTAATAAAAGTAGAATTTAGACTATTACCAAAGTTTACAATCAAAATATTGAAAAATGAAAAGAATAAAATGTCAGCTCCTTAACAGTCAGTGACAAAAAAAAAAAACAGTTAACCCTCTCACTATAGGTAGGTTAAAGTGAACAATCCATGACTCTTACAGAGTTACATTCAAGATTTAATTAAACTATTTATTATCAATGCATACAAATAAATTTGGTAGCAAAACATAATTAATAAATCAAATTTAATATTAAACAAGTTTTAAGTTCTTAATTTTAAAAGGAAATATTTAAATAAATCCTCAATCTCCTCTTGTATGAGAACTGTGACATTGTTCTCTAGGTCTCCTCTCTTCTGTGATTTAATTACTACTTCTCTCTGATAAGCTTGGGAAATACATAATTTTATAGCATAACATGAGCTCCATGTTCCCCAAGTGATGTACAATTTATACTGGTGCAAATAGTAGTTAAACAGAATTTAAAGGGCAATAACACAATAAAATTTAATTATAAAAAGATGTATACTGTTACAAGCTTAAAGCTATTTAGAATAAACATTTCTGATTTCCTGTTACAATTTGCAGTCATTCTAGAATGAAAAAAGGGTAATTTAGATTTATTTCCTAATTTTTTCATGGTGGTTACAATGTTGGTCATATCAACCAACCAAATATAGTTACGGTAATGAAAATAACAGATAAAATAGATTTCTTAAAAAAAATCGTTTATTGTTATTTAGGAAGTTATAAAGATCAGCAAAAAAAATTGCAATTTTTAGACAAAGTATTTTTAGTCTTAAAATTAAAATTATTTTGCTCATTCAACATTCCAAATGAAAAAATTCAAGACAAATCTTGCATTAAAAACTCCTAATACAAAAATCTGATATTTTGTGTACAAAAGCTTTCTTAATGATAATCTGACAAATTTTGTGAAGATATGCATACATTATCAAAAGTTATAGTATGACTATTATAGTTACTTTGGTGGTTAAATCAATCTATTGTATATTAAGTTTTTTTTATACATTCACTATAAAACAAAAAGCTAACATTTCAGTGAAATAATGTACTTCTGAATGAAAAAATAGACCATATTTGAACTTTCCATTTTCAATCCACTACTATTTCATTAAAGGATGTATCTTCATCTTGACTAGTTTCAAGACGTTTAGTGCTCAACTGTACTTTACTACATACCTTCATATGAGATATTTGACTCTGTTCCCAGTTGTAACGCTTCATTTGATTCTCCAGTAATTCCAAGCGAGTCCTTACAAAAGCATCGTAATTTCCCTGTTGAAAAAGTGTGAAAATCTTTCACATCACTCTGCTAAAATCTCAGGGTTTTTTTTATAGAACTATACTAACACAATTGTTTCATAAAAATGTTATGATCATTCCATAGCTAGAATGGATTGGAAAACTTACACCATAATAATTAAGTCTTTTCTTGTGGAGGTGAATAATGTTAGTACAAACACCGTTGAGGAAGTCCTGAGAGTGAGATATGATTACCAAGATGCGTTTATACCTGAAAAGATAAGAAAGCATGTACTGTGGAAGACAGAAAAATGAAATTGTGCTTTTCATTCATTCTGTAGATGATATTTTAGAAAATAGAAACAACAGATATTGTATTAGATATTTTAAAACCATACACTAATAAATTCGTAAGCTGCAGATTTTAATGTAATTGATAAAATAATCTAAGAAAACAGCTGATTTTTTCTATTATATGCAAGTTCTGATGGTGATTTGCTTTGATATCATTTCACCTTTGCTGAAGGTTTTAGATATTGGTTGAAACTTAAGGTGTCACAATAATGATAATGTCCATTGCCTAATATAAATAAACAAATTTTTCTTTTTTCATAAGTGATAAATAGAAAAAAATAACTTAAGTAGCTTTGTGTGCAACCTTTTATTTTTTTTATTGGTTAAATAAATAGATATCACTTTAGTGAATAAATGTAAAAGAATTTGAATGTTAAAAAACATTTATTCACTAAAGACAAAATAGCTGTAGCATTTACTTTCAATTTTTAATAACCATTACCTAAATATGCTTTTGGAACATTCTCACAAAAAATTATATTTAAATTAGAAATAGAATAAATTATTTTCAAACATAATTAATATTAACTTCTAATCAAAGCAAACAATCTAATTAGATGAGCAATTACTCATCCTTGCATACGTTAAAGCAATTAAGTCCAAAGATTGAGTACATTATACAACAAATATTTTGAATATGCAAATAAGCAAGACACTTGACAACCTCAGCCTATTTAAAGTTGCAGTGGAATAAAATGTATCAGAACCAAATCTTGGCATTATTTGGCATTCGTAAGTATTGTGATGGCACCAAAAATTTATCACTTTTGGGAAGGGTATGTAACAGTCTATTCTGATACAAATGTTCATACACTTAAACCATGCAGATGTGTTCAGGTCACGGATTTAAAATTTCTAAGACGGAATATCCCTTGTACTTAATGATATTGAAAGTAAATGAATATGGATCTTCTTGGGGAACCAGGAACCATTCAGAAAGTGTGTTTTCTTAGAGTAAAGCCACATCAGGCTATTTGTTGCGTCCAAATGGAATAAAACCCCTGATTTTAGCATTGTAAATCCAAAGACTTATCGCTGTACCACCAGGGGACTTCAGAAAGAAATAAGCAAGAAGTTGTTTCACATCCATGGTAAGCAAAATATGGATTCTTAAAAAGTTCATAATCTACAAACAGTAAAGTCAGTGGGAAAAGCCATCCACATGCCTAGGCAACAGTACACAGCATAATCTAGAAAGATCTCTCTCTAGAAAAAGTGACACGACTGGTGTAACACTAGTTGCTTCCACAACATATCAGTAGAACCATCTCGTACCTTAAGTAGCTGGAGTATGAAACAAGTATTCATGCTATTCCATGCACTCGAAACAGCACATATGGATCATTGTTGAAATGGACACTGGGAAATTTATTCTCATGCACTAGATGGATTATGGAAAACAATCAGGCAGAAAGAGTTTATTTTAAACATGTATTCCTTAGAACTGAGCCTTTTGCACTGGAAACTACACTGCAGGGCTATTGTCAAGATGAATGGTTGTCACACTGACCATGACTGGATGGTAATATGATGAGGCTCCAAAATGGTTTTGATGTTGTGTACTCAATAACTGTGTATATATTCCTTCCACACCCACAAAGAGAGCAGGGAAGGCTAGATATATTTCAATACAACCTACTGCCAACCAGGAGATCAATGAGAACATAAAAAAAACGTATGGAATGTATTTTCAATAATAAAATGTTCTTTACCATTAAAACTTGCATACTTGAGAGTCATCAAAACAATGTACCTATTTTAAAAACAAATCTTACTTACTGTAAAAGTTTAACTTCTAATAAAATATAGTTAATCAACAAATTTGGTTTGTTCTGAACTTCGTGCAAAGCTAAGCAAGGGTTATCTGCACTAGCCATCCCTAATTTAGCAGTGAAAGACTAGGGGGAAGGCAGCTAGTCATCACCACCAACCTTTGGGCTACTCTTTTACCAACAAATAGTAGGATTGACCATCACATTATAACCCCCACAGCTGAAAAGACAGTCATGTTTGATGGAACGGGGATTTAAACCCTCGACCCTCAGATTATGAGTCGAGCTCCCTAACCACCTAGCCATGACAGGCCTAAGCAGTAAGTAAACTCAAATCAAAACTATTAATGTATTAACAATGCATTCAATCACGTTCTTCTCCAGGGTCTATAATGGCTCTTGTTGATGCTGCTTGTTTCCAAACTATGTTGGATAGTAACTTTCAGAAACTGTAGTGTATTATCATGTTTAGCACATGTAATTCGTTAGGTGTTATTTTGACAAAACTACAATATTTTAAACACTTGAAACATGATCTATTTCTATGTAAACCTAAGAAATATAAAAATATCTACCACATCTGGAAACTTAACCAGAAAAATGCTGCATAGTAAGATAATATTTATACATATAATGGGAAAGGGTAAGTCGTGTTCTGTAAATCCCTAACATGATTAAGTTTATTAATAGGTTGAACCATAACAGGTTCACAAATACAAATATTTTTTGGAAAAGACCCTTGTATAGAATGAAAATACTAGTAACTTACGACTTTAGTTCCTCTTCCAGCCACACACATGCATCCAGATCAAGATGGTTAGTGGGTTCATCCAGCAGTAAAAGATGGGGTCGGATATACAAAGCTTTAGCAAGTGCAATCCGCATTCTCCAACCACCTAGTGATTTGTTAGGATTCAGAAACATTAATCACATAATTTGGCTTTTCTTTTTGTTAAAAAAATGTTAAACTACTTAATACATATAACTTGCACTTATACTATGTATTATGGGTTTGATTTACAATATAAATATACTTTGTTATTATTTTGCTATGAATGTTGAAAAACAAAATTATATTTAACTTTATCTCACCAATGTGTCCACTCAGTACAATGACCACAAGAAACATAAACCACAAACACTGAAACTTTCACCCTACCATGCATGTTACAACCTTTTACAGCATTGTATTAAAAATTTAATTAAAGAACTTTAATATCAGTGGTTGTCAATAAACTTGTAATTAAAACCTAGTTTATAATTTGAATGTTTATACTACCCAAGTTTTAACTTTTTAATTTGAAAGTGAAATATTTAAAAAAATTATGCTTCATTTTTCAGTGTCATGTAGCATTTCAGAGTACTGATTTGTACACTTCAGAATTTTTAACTTCAAGAATAGTTTCCAACCAATTAGAAACACAAACTAAATGTAATAACAAGCAAGAATCTAGAATATAAACCTTCTACCTTCTTGGTTTGTAAAAATATCAATACATTTGTCAAAGTCACCGCCCCCCCCCCCTCTCTCTCACTTGAGATTGTTTGCTATTGGACATGATTATAACCAGAATGAGCTGGTTCTTCTATACAACTGTCCTTTTGAATTTGACATTATTATTCATTTCATGGAAATTTTATTATATGATCATTGTACTGCTGCTCCAAATGTTCGATAGAATTATTTAAACATATTTATATCTTACATAGAAAGCAGGATAAATTATATAAGTTCTGGGACATTCTATTCTAGTGCCAAATGTAATTTTTCTTGTGTACTAAAACGAATATTTGAAAGCTACATAAATTTTAGGACACTCAAATCAGTGCAAATGAGACTGTTAGTGCATTAACTACTATAAATCATATTTTCTATGTATATTTTTTTATTTATGCATCTTTTAATAAAAGTAACCAAAATTTAAACATTATAAACTTCTCAGCTTAACCTAACAAAACTATAGAAATGTCTACAAGTACACAAGCAATGCACGCATCTCGTGCAATTTTCAGTGTAATCTCGCATTCTGTTTCTGTTAAGTTTGTTGAAGAAGCTAATGGCTCTCACTATGATTTATTGCTTTTTTGTTGTAGGGATTAATTCCCTAGTGGGTACAAATTATTGCAATAAAAACAAAAGATAATAAGATGTGAAAATAGTAACAGTTAAAACTACCGAGATAAATAACTTGGAACTTTCTGATAAGTGTTGCAGATGGTTCAGAAAAAATAATGGTATCACTCATTTTATTTTATATTTTTCAACTGTACAATGACGGCTTGTCTACCGACCCAAAAATCAAGTATGTTAGTGTTAGGGTAGAGAAACTAACAGATAATATTTGAACAACAACAAAAATTTTATCTATTTAGGAAGTTGTTGATGTTATGCAATTGAAATATGAAAACTAAGATTGAATGAAGTATTTTTATTCTTAGCATAAAAATTACCTTTCACCCAGACTGAAACTTAGTACTGTAAAAGCTTTGGAGATTCACAGACATTTTTTGTTTAAAATACTCCCTTAAAAAAAATCTGATTATTGTGTAAAACATTTAACGTTTACTAGTCATTTGCTTAGATATACATTACAAATTCACAGTTATAGTAAAAAATTAAAAACATAGCTTCACTGTGACCAAGCCCATGAACAGAAGTTTAAATAAAATTTATTCTCTAATTATAATTACATATTACAATATTAATATATTGTATAAGACTGGCATGATGTACGATAAAAACAAAAATTGCTAAAATAAATTCCATCAAAGTTACATAAAAACAGATCCAAATGTATTATGCTTGGTCAAACACTAATAACTAGCATTAAATTTTACCTGAGAAATCTTTGCACTTCTGTTCCTGCATTCTTTTGTTAAATCCGAGACCATGCAGAATATAGGCAGCTTTGCTTACAGCTTTATCTGCTCCTATATCATCAAGCCGCTCATAGATGTCCATAAGTTGTTCTTGAGAATCTAATAAGTAAAAACACTGTAATGTTAACTGTATGTTTTGGGAAATCTTTGTCTCACCTTGCTTTTCATTTATTTTATTTCTTAAACAGTGCCAGAACTCCAAATATAAAATGGATAAATCACTGAAACTTGTAACACGTCTAGTGAAGGCAGCGTTGCTTGTGGAAGTAGGCCTAAGTAGGAAAGATGAGGAAAGTATGGAGAGTTCGTCGACATCATTGCCATGTGACAAAGCACCAACACATAATAAAAGTGTCATAAAGAGTAAAAAGAAAATATTACAATAGCTTTATAAACTATGGTTTTTACATGGACTGGTGATAAGGAAGAACAAAGGCGGACTTTGTGTTGAATGTGGAAAGGTGCTGAAGAATAGTAGTCTCTTTCCTGCAAAACTCAAACATTTAGAAACCAATCATTCTCACTTGAAAAATAAAAGCAGTGAATATTTTAATCGGAAGTGCTTAGAAATAGACGAAAGAAAACTAAGTTTCATTCATTTATTTCTAGACAATAAAAGAGCTCTTATTACTTCATATCACATTAGCTACCGTATAGCTAAAGAAGGCGAATCCCATACCATAGCTGAAAATTTAATCAAGCCTTGTGTCAAAGATTTTGTGGGATGTACAAAATACCTTCAAAACATTAATTGTGTGCCTCTTTCAAATAGTTTCTTGGTGTATTGAATACATGTCAGCATTTTACAAAAATGAATTAATAAGGCGAGTAAAGCTGAGTCCAACTTTTCTCTCCAAATGGATGAATCCACTGATGTTACAGGCTTAGGCATTTTACTAGTGTTCGTTCATTATATGCATGAATCTCGTAGTAAAGAAGATATTTTACTGTGCAAGCCTTTAGCTGTGCATACAACAGGGGAAGAAATATTTAAGTTGGTTGATTTTTTTATATATCAAAGACCATAAAATTTCATGGAAACAATGTTCAATCATATGAACTGATAGAGCTGCTGCTGTGATAGGAAAAATTTCAGGAGCTGTAGCACGCATGAAGAAAGAAAACCCGGAAATTGAAAGAAGTAATTAGTGATGTAACTAAAATAATTAATTTCATAAAATCAAGACCACTTAATTCAAGAATTTTTTTTTGTTTATTGTGTAACGATATGGGAAGCATCCATACAACTTTATTGCTGCATACAGAGATTACGATTTTTTTGTTCCAACATCCATTTGAGCTTTCTTACAAATTAAGTGATATATGTTCATTGCAGGGATTGGCTTACTTTTCAGATATATTCTCATATCTTAATGAAATAAACATTGCATTGCAGGGCAAAAATGTAACATATTTCAAAGCTCAGAGTAGGATTAATGCACTTCAGAGCAAGCTAAAACTTTGGTGTGTATGTATGTGTGTGTGTGTGTGTGTGTGTGTGTGTGTGTGTGTTTTGGGGGAAAATTATGATTGCTTTGATAATATTTGAATTTTTACTTGTTAATGGAATTTCCCTGGATAAAGACGTAAAAGATACTGTCGTGCAACATTTATCTGATATGAGAGCAACCATTGTTGGATACTTTTCTTCACTGATTCTGTGAATATAGATGAATTACCTTTGAAAGAAAAAGAGCAACTTAAAGAAATTTCCACAGACTCTACATTATTAACTTTCTTTCAAGTTGAGAAAATTGCTGATTTTTGGAGTAAGATATATATCCAGAATAGAGAGAAATCACAATCAAGGCATTGAAGTTTTTGATGTGCTTCCCAACAACACACCTTTGTGAAAAATATTTTTCGTTACATGCTGCTTCCAAAACCAAATTTAAAAATAAATTGAACATAGAAAATGATCTCCGTTTACAGAAAACATCAATAACTCCTGATACTGAAAAAATTTGCAATACGAATCAACTGCAATAGAGCCACTAAATTCTACCAAAAAAGATTTTTTGTCTTTTATTTGAAATTATTCAATAAAGGTCATTGTTTTATGCATTTCTTTTTACTTTTCCTAATTCATAAGGTTTGTTTCAAAATTTACAGATGATATTGCTCCGAAAATAATGTTTTCTGTTAAAAAGTGCTCCGAAAGAGCAAAAAGGTTGGGAAACCCTGTGACCTATATCCTGCATTTGTTGACAAAACAGAAATTAAGCTTTCTAAAAAAGTCTAATACAAGATTTTATGCAAATACACGTCCACAAGAAGTTTAAACAAGTGCCATGTAACTGAAACAGTGAAAAAAAGTGGTGGTATGAAGACTGTCTGCTGAAGGAGTGGGAAATGTACAAAAGAGTTGATATAGAAGCAAAATTAGAAAATCTTTAGTTCATCAAATAGTTATACTCAACACGTTATGTGTGGCTCAAAAATGGTAGGTGCTTGTCTGTGAAGACTTGACTTTGGATGTTTTATATTTGAGTGAGTTATTAAAATGGTAAAATAGCCAATAAAGTATTATAGCCCCCCCCCCCAACTTTCTCTCAAATTTATTGTGAATCTTGTGAACAACCCTGTGTGAAATTTAAAAGTCATAAAACTTCTGCCAATTATATAAAATCTTTCAAATCATTAATGCACTAGTTAAGAATCATTGCATGCTACCTTGGTTTTTCACAAACAAAAAAATATAATATTTGGTATACAAAAATAATAACCTACATTTGAAGATTCTTATACGCTTACAGTGTAACCAGTTATGCATGTTTCATTTTTTGGTAATTCAAGTTAAATTTTGAAAACTTGTAAATTAAAAACCCATGTAACCCAACACAAACTTTGCAGTTAATAAACTGTAACACACCCAACTAGCATGAAAGGAGATAACAAAAAATAAATATAGTAATGCTCACATTAACTTTTTTTTTTTTTGGAGTGTGAAGGTGAAGTTCAACAAATGAAAATATGTTGTAAGCTAGCAGTTTCCCGTTCAAACAATTCAACAATAATTTTCCTGAATATAGTGATGAATAAATATAAAATGCATTTATGCAAAGGAGACAGACTGCAAAGCATTGTTGGCAAAAATGTTTGGGTTTTGATACAATGGACACAACACATCCCTCAAGCCTACCTTTCAAACATGCTCAGGTTAGAGATTTTGTTGTTATTTGTCTTTAATTGATTTTTTAGAACCTACATGTTTTCCTAACATAATAAACGAATCTCCAGGTAAGGAACATGGACCCAATTCAAGTAAGCATACCCTTTTATTTCCAAACATATTAAGTGACTGTTCACTAAATACTTGTCATTTTACTGAGCACAAGAACAGACTGCTAACCAAGTGAAAATTTTTTAGTTATTTCTATAAGTGTTAAAGGGGAGATATTCAATTCAAATCCAATCAGTTAAATTATACATATACATAATACCAACATGAAAAAGTTATATATTTAAATAAAGCAAAGAACAACAAATACATACTCAAACTCACTCCTCTCTTTATGCGTTTTCTTTCATTCATGCTCCATATTTCTTACAATCTTTGTGAAATTCCCTCACAAAAAGAAAATTGTTCTTATGATAATGATATCAAATTTTAGGAACTGCACAAAATGAATAATTTTCCTGTAATGTACTCTGGAAAGAAGCATTTTGATGTATAACTTATTTTTCTATGATTAACTGTTCAAGAGATAGAGCATTTCAGACAGGCATTTGTTTTTTTACAAACACACACACACACAAATATATATACACCTTACTATGGTTTTGTCATGCATGTACAAGTTCAGTGGATCTTTATGTCTGAAAGCAACGTGCAGGACTGAAACTACTTATTACTATGATGTCATTTTCTTCAATATAAACAAGACCAAGAAATTTGTGAATAACTTAAAATATTAAGCCAACCTTGTCCAAAGGTTAATATTTTTGGATTCAAACTGAGCTCTACAATTTATATCAATGAACATTTTAATGTTTTAAATATCAAATTATAATTAAGTCAAAGAACATGCAATTCATAGCTAACTTTTCAGGTAGTATTTGGTGAATAACCCAGAAGTTAAAAACAATTAAAAATAGTATGTGTTAAAATTACCATTAAACCTTCAGATATGATCTGGGTGGAACAATTCTAACACTAATAGACTGAAGAAGAATACTTTATTTAGTAATATAGTTTAACTACCATCATCAGGGTAATGAGCCAGTTCTTCAGCCAGTTTTTCAAGCCGTATCCGTTCTTGATCCACATCAAGCACGGCTTGCAATGCTGTATTATTGCTTGGTTCTATTTCTCTGGTCAGATGATAGATATCAATATGATCTTGAATTGGAATCTCTCTACGACCAATAGAAGCTAATAATGAGGACTTTCCTGAAATTCACAGACAAATATTATTCATTAATTAGCAATAAAACAATTTTTTGGGGTATTCAATATATCTGAAATTTTTGCCTTATAATATATTCCAAAGTCTTGCAATAAGTAGACAATATAGGAAATTTGCATGATGTAAGTTCTTCATCTTTTTTTTAGTATTTACTTATGGTAATTTCCCTAGTTTGTTTTTCAACTTTTTAATTCTTTCTACTTAAAATTTTCTTACTAATTAATACTTATATCATATCTTTATTTTACTTTATTAATACCCATTATACTTTCCCTTTCAAGTTATATTTTTAAACAAAAAACATTCTAGTTAGTCTTGTTCCTGTAATACCGCACAAAAAAAAAAGTCACACTTACAACATTCCTTTGAAATATAAGTAAAACAGTTCCAGGTTTCATGGCATTTTTCCTTGTATAACCATGATGTCACTCCACTTTTCCTCACAGTTTACTTAACTTTGACATTATCAGGTAGCCCATGATGAAGAAAGGTCTACCTTTCAAACATGCTCAGGTTAGAGATTTTGTTGTCATTTGTCTTTAATTGATTTTTCAGAACCTACATGTTTTCCTAATATAATAAACGAATCTCCACGGAAGGAACATGGACTCAATTCAAGTAAGTAGACCCTTTTACTTCCAAATATATTAAGTGACTGTACACAAATGCCTACATGACTACAAACATTTCTAAATGGATACCCATCCTTTCAAAACCACTCCTAGGAGTTACTATAATAATGTCTAGCTATTACCATTTCCCTTCCTGAATCTATCCTGTTTTTGATAATTAATTTTGGCACTATTGTTTCAAATGAGGATATAAAAGCTACAAAATAAGGTTTAGCACAATGGTAAAGTGTTAACATTTCCATTAGCTATTACAAAATAAAAAATGGGCTGTTTAAACTTTTCTACAGCACTGAAACAATACAAAGATTTATACTATTTTACCAAAGTACATTATATTATAAAAAAATGTATTTCTCATTGGTTTTGTGAATTCAAGTACCACTTGGCAATGAATTAACTATTTATTTGCATAGTCATTCTTATTTGTAACTGCATAAACGAAAAAAAAATACAGCATATTTATGATTTCTCTGCATATCTACAAAAAGAATCATAATATAAGATATATCAAGTAGTAGTATCATATGCTACAAATTAATGTGTACTCAATTCTTATAATGCAGCACTGCATGAGACGCAGTTAACTTAAGTTTTGAGATGATGTAGTTCAGTATTTACACCAGACCTGTGAATAAAAACAAATCCTACAAAGTTAAACTTTTTTCAAAATAAAACTAAGATCACTCCAAAAAAAGAGAACAAATATGGTAGTATGTACACGTACAAAAATACAGAATTAAAAAAAAGCAACTACATGACAAAAATTTTATGTCATACTACATCAAACATTTGTCAGTGGTTTACAACCTCTAGGTCATGCCTCTTGGAGGAGAGAGAAGAATTACTGAATAAAGGACAAAGAATATCTTATACAATAGCCTTAAACAAAAAAAGTTGATAACCTGAGGTTTAGAAAACTTTTCTTGTATATAAGTTTATAAGCATGTCAAAAACAATACCTTTCAAACCCAAATGTTATCTTCAAAACAGTTAAATTCATGGCTACACAAGTAAAATTAAAGTGTAAATGAATCTTTTGGTAAATTTTGAATATTGTATGAACATTTCTTTTGGGTTTTATGGAATATGCATTAAACTTTGGAACAAGGTAACCAAAGGTATTACCATTTTACAAACATCACATTAACCTTAAACATGAGGATTTAAAGAATTAACTTATGACCATGGCTCATCACACATTAACAATATATCTTTTAATACAAAATATTCATCCCTGCACCCTAAACAACTTTACATAAAGAAAGTGAAGAACAGACAGTAATATAAAAAATAATAAATGGATCTAGAAACTTACCACTACCATTGAGACCGATAAGGCCATACCTCTGGCCACAATTAAGTTCCAGTTTTGTGTCCGCTAGAATCTCTGCCCCATGAAAAGTAATTGAGAAATTTTCAATTTTTATATCACGTGAGTGGGGATTCAGACCCTGGACTCCAGTTACAGCTCGAGCCTTAGCATTAAGGTCCATGTCATGTTCCAGCTTCTTCACCAACTCATTCTCAGAAGCTAAATACAATTCAAAACAATTTACAAAAGCTAATATTTCAGTTTAAAAATGCAAACATTGAATTTTTTCTTTTAATTTACACCTCTTCCTTCAGTAGAAAATGTTTGTGTTAACCTTTTACTTTCTTAAATACATTTTCATCTATAAAAAACATTTGACACAGGTTTGCTAAATGGAGTCACATAACAGTACACTTTTTCTCATCTATAACTTAACAGGTCAATGAAACATACTTACCTTACAAAAAAAACAAATACAAGATATTAATATTCATAATTACAATTTCTTGTGCTATTATATTCTGGTATTTATCAACTATATAATAAACATGAATTAAAACTAAAGAGAACAAAGAATGAAGTTCAGAAGTCAAGGTTTTTTTTTGTTGTTTTTTTTGCAAATAAAGGTGTAAATTTCATATACAAACCAAGAGGCAAAGATGACCCATTAGCTGTTACACTTTCAGATTTGTTTTCTGTACACTCATCATTAATTCCATCTTCAGTTTTCTGCTGGGTTTTTTTCTGTGCACGTTGTTTAGCAGCTTCCTTCTTTTTAGCTTCACGTTTCTTTTTGGAGTCTGAAGGCATTTCAACAGAGATAGAGAATCTAACAAAAACTAAAAGAAAAAAAGAATATTAATCATACAGAAAATTATTAACTTCTGGGTTATATTTCAGATAGTTTTACTTATACAATATTCTTCAATAATCCACCTCTCTTCACAGCTTAATTATTTCAATCCAGTTATGAGAAGGCTACTATAAAAGAACTTATCAACAAAGATTGGCAGTTTTGAAACTTATATTTCTTAAGACCCACTCTTATTATAAATTTATATTTACAGTTAATTTAACTCCTTTTAAAAAATTTTTCAGAACAATGATTACAGAATTTGACTAACTACTGCAATCTAAGATATAATTTTCCTAATCTGAAAATGTATTTCCAAACATACTTACCTCTGCTGACATTTATAGCTATTTCTTGATCTTCATCTTTGCCATCTAAGCATTGTGTTCACTTGCTCCAGTCTTTGATACCCCCACTTGACTGCCCTCGTTATATTCTAATTTGCAAAACTTTACACTGGCCCTTACACACCCTCTGTGCAGGTATTCTATATAAGCACTGTATGCAGACAATATAATCACTTTTTCTAGACTTACCCATCCCGGCCACAAACATCAGCTCTTAGTGGGGAGGAAGGGAGGGAGAGTGTCAGTAGAGGTAAGTATGTTTGTAAATACATTTTCAGATTAGGAAAATGATAACTTCCAAAATATACATACCTCAACTGAAACTTGTAGCTAGAATCTCACATTGAGAAGGTGGAGTGAGCTGGTGAGGGCATAGGTCATACAAAAAGCATCTACACAGAACAAAGGTGTACCATGAGAAGTGGTACCCAAGCAAGGAAAACCACTCTACATTTAGAACAGGTATGATTGCCACCCAGAACTACGGAAAACTTAAATGATGGAATATTACACAAGTAAGTATGATGAGCCAGCCCCAACCATGCAGCAGAGGTTCCATGACTCGGGGCTGGATTTCAGTGGTCATGGTACCCATATCCCATATTGGTGGCCAGGGCAGTGGGACCGCAAATAGACAAATTTTTTGTGATAGGATCCTCACCAGCAGCCACAGAATGATGTGTTTCAAACTACTGGATTTATGAAAGAAAACAACAACAAAGGGGATAATTCTTCTGATCAACCTGAAGTCCAAAAGGCAACATCCCAGGCTTGGATTGATGGGACCATATATGCCACACTCCACCCAAGATCCAGAACTCATCTGGTCTAGATTTATGAAAAGTCATCTTCACTCCCCAACCAAGTGAGCAAGGAGAATTCTACTTGCCATGGAATTATGGAGAGGACAAGGAACACTGTTCCACCAAGGGCCTAAGATGGGACCTCATTACGTTTGTATTTACAAGGAGATAGTGGACCTCCTGTATGAACAACCTAAGACCTGACAATGTTCATAAGAGGGTCCAAGCACACCCCCCACCGGATAACTAAACGTCAAATCTGGGCCGGTTTTAAGAGTAGGCTCCCGCGTAGGTTGGTCCTGCTCCTACCGACATCTGGGAAAAACTTCCAGGAACCTGAATAGGAGGGTTCTCAACTTCGCCCTCTACTCCAAGAGTGAAGAAAACTCAACACTCCGAAGGAAAATCCTCTGTTCACCACCCCAACTACTGGGAATTGGATTTGTATTGTAAGATAATACTAACGTTCAGAATTGCATCTAGATGGTCTTATGGAACACCTCATCTTGACAGAACCTGTTGCAGCTATGAACCAATATAAAGATTGCTAGTGCAGAACTGAAAAAATACAAGCACACCTGACTGGGCAACACTTGCCACTTAGTGGGATTTAAAGGAAATAAAGAGGGACCCTAGAAAAAAAAACTGTTAATCAAGTAAGAAACTGACACATCTCCTTGTTAAAATCTAGCAGAGGTAGTTAACACAGCCATGGAGTGAAGGGGGGGGGGGGTACAACAAACAGTAGGCTATAGATTGAAGGTATAAAATGAAAACTTACTCTAAAGTCTCAATCAGGCTATTGAAAAGGTCATTTAGGTTGAAGAATATGAAAGGATCTTAGATGAGATAGCACAGGAGAGACAAAAACTGGCCTATATGTAGAATAGTGAAAGGGAGCAGCTAAGGATGCTGTATATAATGCAAGGTAGAAGAACCCAAGCCTCTCACAAAAATCCACATAAAAAAACATGAAACTATGGAGACTGTTGGATGAAGTGGGTTGAAGGCTCACCAAAGACACCACTGACAAAAGGTAGTCAATTTCCATTGAGAGATTGCTATAGTAGGTCAACAGGGGATTTTAGTCAAATAAACGGAAACTTTAGAAGTTAAACTCCTACGTCGGGCAAAGGACCACATAACTTCCATAACATGAAGCTGGAGTCAAACGTCTAGGTGTTGAATGTTGGACCGAGGTTGTCTCAACAAGGATGAGCAAAGCGGTAGTGGTGGACATTCCTGGAGCAATCGAAGAAGAGGAAACCATGTCTGAAGCAAGCCAAAAAGGTGCTGTCAAGAGAACCCAACATGGGGAGGAACGAATCATAGACAAGACTTTGGGTAAAAGACGAACATGAGGAAAAGCATAGAAGTGTAATCCCATCTATAGCCAGAGCTCGTGGATGCAGAACTGTAGGCGAGCATTCTAATGTGTTGCAAAGGCATCGATCATTGGAGATCAGATCTGAGAACAAATCCAGTGAAAGACCTCCTGATGGAACATGCATTCTGTTGCAAGAATCTGCAGGGCCTAGAAAAATGATCTGCTATCAAATTCATAACTACAGGCACATGACAAGCCAAAAGACAGATATCATATGAATGAGCCGAAAAAGACCCAAAGCCCAAGATCTCGAGAATGAGTACCTCCTGCATGAGAAACATGAAACCAAATGGATCATGACAATATTGCAGTGCAAAAGAGGAAGACCTGGAACCATTGCTTGATGTACTGCAAAAATTTTGAGAATGTTGATATGCAGGGTAGATTCGTAGTGAGTCCAAATACCCTGGAATTCCCCTGCCTCAGGAGAAAAGCATCCATTTGTGAAGAGATGGATTTTCAAACAAGGAGGTGGTATCTGGTCCCTGATATTCATGTTGTTCCAGTCAAGCCACCACTTTAGATCTGCAAAGTGTTCTTGAGCTAAGAAACTGTTTGATTCATATCAATATTTTGGGACAACATGGGACCTATTGGTCCATCTCAGCTGTTCCCTTTTCTAAACTAAATTAAAATAACTCTTAAAGCCAGCCCTTTAAGCTTTTTCTTAAACCCACTTAAATTTACTGCCTCCACAACCCATTCCAAAGGCCAACTACCCTGTTAGAAAAATAAGTGTCTTAGCTGAAGATGACTCCTACCCTGCTAAAATTTATATTTGTGTCTCCTAGTCCTACTATTCTCACTATTAAATATGAAAATAAGATGGTGCATCCACACTACCAATTCCCTTTAAAATCTTAAACACCTCAATCAAATCCCCCCCCCTCTTTGGACTTGTATTCAATATTTCTGTAGATACAACCTAAAATCTAGATCAATTTGTAGATAGTAAGTGTTACATAACTTTTTCAAACTTCCCTTATACACCTGCTTATCATATCTCGGGGAGACAGAGCCCCCTTATCACAAAACAGTTGAAAAAGTTATGTAACACTTATTAACCTAAAATCCTATTTGCCTTACCACTAACAACACATTGCTTGGATGGCTTAAGAGACCAATCAACAATTAAACTAAGATCCCTTTCTTTCATAACACTCTTAAGGTTATTCCCATCCAAATTATACTTATAATTCAAATTATGATAACCCACATGCATTATCTTGCATTTATTATAATTAAAACCATTTTATTTGCCCAACTCACTAAATGATCTAAATCATTTTGCAAATCAGCAGCATCCTCTTCACAGCTAGCAACACCCAAGACTTTAATAAGTCAAATTTAAGTCATTTATTGACCATTCCTTCATCTATGTCATTGATGTAAATCAAAAAGAGCAAAGGTCCTAAAACTGAGGCTTGAGGTACCCTACTTGTGACTAATCCAGTTTGATTTGTAACAACCATCTGCTTTCTTCCATCCAGCCACTCTTCTATCCAATTTGCTAACTTATCCCCCACACCTATACAGATAATTTATTTTACAAGCCTTTTATTTTGTGGCACCTTGTCAAATGCTTTC